CTCTTTTTGAAGTGGCAAAGAATGGGAATTTAAGGGGCTCCCCATAAATTGGGGAATAGATGAACAAGTTATGCCATCCAAATGCGATGGAATACTATTGTGCTCAATTCTCATCAGTGTAACCATTAGCCATGATTACAGAGAACTAATGATTAAACATACTTTCTGTCAGAGGTGAAGGACACAAAATGAAGAATGAGACAAAATTGTTTTTAGACATGGCCAGTGTGGAAACTTGTTCGGGTGGACTATATATGATTGTAATGGGTTTTGTTTTTATTGTGTCGTCAATTGGGAGATGGACTGGAATAGAAGGATGAGAAGGTAGATCTTGGCTGACTGAAACATTTTTCTAAAAAATTAAGGTGGGCAATAGCCATGAAAGTACTAACAATTTTAGAATTATGTGTTGCAAATGAAGAGCATTAAAGTTCAGAAATGATATGTCAATGTGATATCAATTTAGTTTTGTCCCCTATATAGGGGACAGCTAGTGATGAAGAGATAGAATGCCAGGCCTGGAGTCAAGTAGAATTATCTTCTTGAGTTCAAATCTGGTCTCAGACACTTACTAGCTGAGTGACCCTGGTCAAGTCACTTAATCCTATTTGCCTCAGTTTCCTCATCTGTAAAATGAGCTGGAGAAGGAAATGGCAAACCACTCTAGTGTCTTTGCCAAGAAAACCCCAAATGAGGTCATGAAGAGTTGGACACAACCAAAAAAAATAAATGAACGACCACCTCTATATAGATCAGAATTACTTTCTAATCAGTATGTATCAATTAGAAAACTAATCTCTTTTTCTGCCTTTCAACTTTTCAGAACTATTCAAATGGGAATGACACTGAATAATCCAAGTTTGGAAGTAAGTTTCATGAATTAATTATATAAAAGGAATAACCTCTTCTCGCTCATCTTTTATTTTAATTTTTATTTAATTTTTTTTGACTAGCTTTCTTAGATTTTATTCCTGTCATCTTTATCCTTTTATCCATGTAATCTAATACTTGCAAATCCAAGCATTTGGTCTTTCTAAATTTCACTCACATAACATGCCCAGCCATAAAACAGTGTTATTTAATACTTATACCATGGCTTACAAAGGAAAAAAAGTTATAACTGACATTTAAGAAAATTTTTACTTTATTCTGTCCATCAGACTAAAAATAAAATCCATTTTCCTTACTGCTTTCCTGTTCGTCTTTACAGGCTTCAAGTATTTGGTTCTCTATGCAGCTGCATTAAGCACTCACCTTTCTTACTTTGTTAGTTCAGAACAGTCAGAAATCTGATTAGGAGACAACTCCATTTCAATGAGCAGCTTGTGTATTGTGTCTCTTCATTTTTGTTGAGAATACTGAGTCACATGTCAGCTAAGATTTTTTTCCATTCTTGGTAGATTGAAGGAAATTTCAAACAACATTATGAAATGGAATGTATTTCATAATTATGTAGTCTTTATTTTAGACACGTTGTAAAAAAAGTTGACATGGAATAAAATCTTTTTTTTAACACAGCATCAATATCAGTACACAGTTAATGATTAGATCCAAACAAATTTAACCACATAACAAGTCCATTTATCTGCAGGAGCTTTTCACATTAAACTTTTGGAGCAGAGATAAAATGTGCTTAAACACACAGAGGGTAGGGCAAATCTATTGAAAAACTAAAGCCTTTTCTGTTAGGGTTTTGTTTTTTAGTCAAATACTTAAACTATATATTGCATTAAAGAACTTGGAGTCCTCTACTTCAGCAGTGTCAGTTGCAAATGAACAAAAAACACCCATTTGTAAGGCCATAGGAATGCACTGAAATAATTAAATTCAGTGGAAACTAAGAAAATGAAATGGAAATTGTTATTTCTTGGCATAATTAAACATAATCAGATGTGGCACAAGCATAAGAGATGAAGTGATCTGAAAAATAACTACAAATAATTATTTCTTAAGCTTCATATCTGCACATTTCACTAAATGAAAGTGAAATTAAAGATGTTTTCATAGTGAACAAGAAACATCAATTTTATTAGCCTAAAAACATTTTAATTCTACTGTAAAACTGCTAGTCGAAGAATGTGATTTTCACTAACATCCTGTTCCTGTAGGTCACATGTTGAGGCATCCCTTTTCTTTCAGATGGTGCAAAAAAAGAAGAGGAAATGCTTTTTCTAAAAAGAGACATTTGCAAAGTCAACTAGAAATAAATGCCCTAAATTTTACATAAGTAAACCAAACATGTTTTTAACTTTAAGTATGAAAGATCATTTTCAAAGGTTAAGTACTAAATTTATATAAAACAGTCTTGGTCATGGAAAAAGAAAATCCGAAGAAAAAAGAAAAAAGGAAAAAAAGTCTGAATAAATGTTTCACTTGTTGATCCTAAGTCCAAAGCTTTATTAGCCATAATAGAGATGATTATCATTGAGAACCTAAAAATTTAAGCTGTAATCTTGGAGGAACTTTTGCAGAAATTTACCTATATTACACAGCTACATTTTTTAAAAAGAGCTGGAATAATTTTTTTTTGCATTATTGGACATAACATAATAGGTTCTAGTCTAAACTTGAAATGTCCACTTTTGCCTAAAGACTAATGATGCCTTTAAATCCAAGACAAAACATAAATCTGCTATTTTGTAAAATGTATAATAGCTGGCTCACCTTTGTTCTACTAGATATTAGAATACTAGTTTTCAAACTGAGGTATAGTTTTAAAAAGTCCTTCAAAGTAAAGATAATAGTCTTCTGAAAGCTTACAAAGACTGCACAAAATGTTCATATGGATAGTAAGAAAACCTGCAGCACCCAGGAACTGATGCACAGGCAAAACATACCCTTTATTGTTATCTGTTTTTCTAAAGTAAAATATAGCTAAAATAGGTTCCCAGCTAAACGGTACAATCAGTGATTTACATGCTACTTAGATACAGCACATGTTTCATTGTCTGACACTCTCAGACTATATTTGAAAAGGTCTACACCAACCCTTATAAAAAAATTAGTACATTGATAATAAAGTGCAGCCACTGAACCACTTAATACTGCTGCAAATATCTGTATTTTATTTTATTTATAAGACCAAAAAATGTTCACATGAAACTAGAATTCTTCAGTTTCATCAGGGAACAGACGAAATTGTCTGTTATTAAATCCTTCTACAAATAGAAAAAAATAATGTATTATATGAACATTATTAAGCAAAATGAAATATTTACTGGATCATTTTACCATGCATAAAGTGAAATTTCCTATGGTTTCACCTCAAATTTATATACAATTTAGCATGGCTAAATGTAAGAAAATAGCAAAGACATCTTGTTTTTATACAACAGAGCAAATACCCCAAATGGCTGCTACTTCAAAAAGCTAAAATTTTAGACTCATAACTTTCACAGGCTCTTTCAGAGGGAAATTCATGGAGACTAGGCATTAACATATACAGGACAGAACCAGAGAGAAAATGGAACAAAGGCAAAGCATTCTATTAAAAACAAACCAACAACATTGCTAACCACAGAATATGTCAGTTTTGGTTTGCAGACAACCCCTGAGATAAAAATCAGTATTAAGACACCAAATAGTCAGAGGTAAATTACTGAAAGATAATTACATTCATAAATGGTGTCATAACACTTGCCTTTATAGAAAATACTTTGCTACCTTACAGACAACTTAACTACTTGACCCTTTTCTAGAAAACGGTAAGTACATACAAAATGATTAGGGATGTTTTTGAACATGATTTTTTTTCTTTAAAAAAAATCCATCTGAATAACAGATAATGATTTATAGTCAAGTTATAAGGAAATATTATTTTATGGGAAATAGTAACAGGGAGCACTGTTTCATCTATAAACACCTCAAACATCAAACCTAAAAAGGTTGATGATTTTTAGTAGTAAGGTCTTAACACTAATCAGAAATAGCTTTTTGCATATTTACTGCTGATGAAATATGTTTAAGTTTTGAAGCATGGAGACAGGTAAACTTGTCAAAGCATCCTAATGACAAATCTTATTTCAAAAAAAATTCTCAGTAATGACAGCCAATTAATTTTTTCCTATTACTCGCCAATTATGACAGTGACTATAAAGTGTACAAATAAAAAAATTCCTAATAAGGATACATTTCACCTGTTCATCCTTTTATCATTCCTTTGTTGGGTTTACACTGACCTGAATCTGGCACCTTAATAACCACTAATTTCTCTTATTTCTGCTCCATGAACATTTTTTTTCCTTTAAAAAAAAAACCTGCAGAGTGTAGCAGGAATCAGTGTTCAATGGAAAAAGCTCGCACGCTTCTGGTTGGCTTTGCCATAAATAACACCATCAACCTTTATACTCGGTAACTTAGAATGTAACCAGATGAATGAGGTTTTACAGATTCAATAACAGCTGTTTTGAAACTAAAAACATTACTCATGTTTTCTTTACTGAAAGGGCATTACTTACTAGAAGCTTCACGAAATCCAGTTATGCACATGTGTGTTTTTAAAATCCAACTCCCTAAAACTTCCCAAAGTTACACTGTCTACTCAGGTTGCTCTCTTTATACAGGTAAGCTTTCTGCAAGCTAAAAGACTAACTCCTGCTAACCCTGGTTAGAGTTTATGCTAGAAATAGTTAGTATAAAGGAGGTACCAAAAAGCAAAGGGGCTGTAAATCCAAGAAGAAAATTTTGAGTATTATCTTATGGAGGAACTACCATAAGCCACTAAAAAAAAAAATTACCAGCCACACCACAGTATATATAAAAAATTTCAAGGTCTCAACTAAAAAAGAGTCACATGTGGAAGTCAAAATCAAGAGTATTGGATAGAAAGTAAGGAGCTAGGGGGCAGCTAGGTGGCGCAGTGGATGGGGTGCCAGCCCTGAAGTCAGGAGGACCTGAGTTCAAATCCGACCTCAGACCAAGCACTTGACACTTATTAGCTGTGTGACCCTGGGCAAATCACTTGACCCCAACTGCCTAAAAATAAAAAAAAAAAAATTAAAAAAGAAAGTAAGGAGCTAAGACAAGGGAGAAGGGAAGAGGACACTAAGGAAAAAAACTGGGAGAAGAGGAAAGTGTACTGGGGTGCAGTCAGGTGTGGTCACCCGTAGAGAACTCCCTTGGAGAAACTCCCCCCACAAATAAGAATTAGCAACTTGTCTGTAATCTGGGGCACTGACTAGAAGGTAAAATGATTCCTTATGGGCATACAGTCCTATGTAAGTCCCACAGAACTTGAGCTTAGGTCTTCCTGACTTTGAGGCTGAACCTTCATCCATTATACCATACTGCATCAAATATTTTTAGAACAGTCAAGTAAAAGTGATTTAGAGCAGTTTTTACAAACTAAGAAGAAAGGATATAAATTTAGAAAATTATACTCTTAGCTACTCCCAATACCTGTGGGGTCAAATAGACAAGAATGAAGCAAAGCCCTACATTCTGAAGAGAGGAAAAAGTAGTAGCCTTGGTACAGACCACTGCATTTTCTTGAATTAAAAAAAAAAACAAACCTCATTAGCATTAACTTTTCTTTTTAAGAAATTTACATAAGACTAGAGCCCCTCAAAGCACATACTACAAATTATATTTGTCCTTATAAACCAGATGAAGTCTCTGAATTTGTGTAAATTTAAAAATTTCTCTTTTGTAAACTTCCCTGAAAATGCACAAATCTGTTAAGAACTTCACAAGACAAAACTGTGCAAATACAAGTGTATGATTGTGCTGTAACAGGCAAGGACTAACACTGATGTGCAAAGTTAAAAGAAAGATAGCAGCTTTTGCAACAGGCAAGAAAACAAACAAAAAGTTAACTCCTGCGTGTGTCTCCACTTCACCGCTTCCATGTTTGAGGAAAAGAGCCTGACCAGCTGAAAGGCCACATGGCCATAATCCATGTTGTATTTTGTTTAAAGAAATCTGAGTTCCACGGAGCTCTCAGTGGCAGCTTGGTGGTATTGTGTCTCTGGGGCTATGTGACCCTGTGCTTTCAGAAAAGCAGGAAAGGTTCTTCTAGGTGTGCTGTAGTCCATTATTAAGAGTTTATCAAAGGAGTGTACAGCGGAAGAAACTGCTCTTCTTCGATCTATTTTCTGTTATTTTCACTGGTCCTCCTGCCCCCGGTGAATTGCTGTCATTCTAAAGAGAAGAAAATAGAATAAAATTAATCAATAGATGATGTCATAGTTTACCCCAACACTCTACAAGAAAATTATCATATTAAAAAGGTATTTGGTACAAGGTAATAAGAAGGTAATTTTCAAACCTCTTCAAACTTTTTTTGGGGGAGAGGGGGACAATGACAAAGGGAAAAAAAGGCCTTGCTACAGAACATTTAGATTAGTAATCCAAATAATAAAAAGGAAGCTCTTGTTGCCATATTTATAGAAATAATAGGCAATAGAATATAGGGCTTATGCCTAATTATAATAGCACTGCTTGTATATCCTGGCATTCTAAGATAAGTACCAACAGCATTATATTCAAAGATATTATTCAGTGATCAAGCTAAAATACCGAAATTGTCTATTGTGTGTCACTGAGATACTTTTATGATTAAGCAAACTGTAAGACCAGAGCTATATATTTACATAAATGTCTATCACATTTCATTTCAATATTTCATTTATTCAGTTAAAAATTCAGTAATTCTGGGTTTTTATCAATGAATCTCTGCATTACCAAAGATTATTTAATAACGTTGTCAAGAAAAGGAATCAAAGCTTCCAGACACAGATAAGGATCAACGTTCAGAGAGATTGTTTCCATCCCTTTCACTCATGTTCACCTGGATATACACATCCTTAAAACATCTTTTCGGCTGTTTTTGCTTTTCTTTATACCCATAGGTCTTGGCACAGTCCTGGCACATAGTAGTAAACTCTTATTAAATGCTTGTTGAGTAATAAAATAAAAGACCTATAAGAAAATTAAAAACTGTAAAAGACACGAACCATTTTTCTGTTGAGTTTTGTCATTATATCCCGTGCAAGTGTAAAAAATGCCTGAAAATTTAAAAAAAATCATTATTACATGCTCATTTTTACACTAATAAAAACATTTTATTAAAGTTTTTACTAAAACTCAGGCTCTTGTTCTTTAACTATCTATTTCTGCCAAATGAGAAGTCAAGAAAATAGGTAGACAAGATACCATTTCAGAAAAAAGAAGCCCAGATTTGTTTCTAAAAGTATACTATAGGTAAAAACCAAAAGAACCATGATTTTGAAAAAAATAGTGCTTAAAATTTTTCATTCAAAATTTCATATCTTGGCTTTATATTCATTTTTAATTTTCTCTGTTAAGTATTTAGTATGTCTGGTTATTGAGATAAATTAATTTTAATACTGTATTATTTGGTCATTAATAACAATTTGTAATATGCCTTTCTCTGTCATAAGGTTAACTTAAAGTGAAGCCCTCCCTGATAAAGAATGTAAAAAACATTCCAGCTCTTTTCAAGGCATCTGAGCTGGGCCCTACCCAGCTGGGAACCTGATTACTGTCTGCCAAATAAACAGGATCCAGTGCAGGTTAGTGGCAGGGGTTGGCGGGGTGGAGCTCCTGTCCTTGCTTCTCTTCATTACAGTTTAGGGTGACTTAACTCATGAAGGAGAAACCAAACCAGAGAGAACTTGACTGGGGTGCACAGATTGCTGAAGGGGGCTCATACCTCATGGCCACATCCTCAGCTGACCTCTCCCCTTAGGATGAAGTGATTGGGAGGGGCTGGGGGCTCTTAGCCTACTACCTCATTAAATGTCCGCCAATCAAGGTTGAGTTTTACTTGTCAGGGGAATTCCCTGTCAGAAGGAACACACCTAATTTAAGGTGTTTCAGAGCAGAAGTATTTCCAACGATGACTAGGGAAAAAGGCAAAGAACCTGTATGTTTTAAAATATTTATAACAGCTCTCTTTGTGGTGACAAAGAACTAGTAATTGTGGGGATGTCTGTCATTTGGGGAATGGCTGAACTAGCTGTGTTATATGATCATGATAGAATACTACTGTGCTATAAGAAATGATGAGTTTGATGATCTTAGAAAAACACAGATAGATTTGCACAAAATAATGAAGACATAATGAGCAGAACCAAGAGAACATTGTATACAGTATTAGCAATGTTATTTTAAGAACAACTTTGAGTAAGTCATTTTGACCATTAAAAATACCCAAATTAACCACAAAGAACTTATGAAAGAAGACGCTATCTGAATCCAGAGAAAGAAGTGAGAAATAGAAGCATGTGTACAATGATTTTACATATATATCTATACATAATTGTGTCTAATGGTAGCCATCTTGATAACTTTAATGTACATTTAAAAGGAATAACAAGTTGTACATTATAGATCTGCAGTTTCATGTGCAATCAGCTTCCCCTCCACCTCCCCACCCCCACCCCATTCTACTACATAATGAAAAGGCTTATTTTATTTCCTAAGTTCAGAGTAAAAAAAAAAATAGAATGTTTTATGTGAGTCTGCCTTCTTTCATCAAAGTAAATCACAACTATTCCAGGCTCTGTAACTAGGATCCTTCAACTTTCACCTTCATAAATTATTGCCTTCCTTCTTCATAATCTCTCTCACCTTCATCTTTAACTGTTCATTTTTATTTCTAACTATTATCTACCTGAAAACCTAAACTACCTGAAAACCTAAAGAAGAAGAAGTATCTAGGAGTAGAATGTGATCGATAGGTCAAGTGTAGTAGAAGTCAAGCAGGATGAGGATTGAGAAAAGGCCATTAGATTTGGCAATTGAAAGATAAAACTTTGGAGAGGACAGTTTCAGTTGAAAGATGAGGACATATTGCAGAAAATTTAGAAAAGAGTAAGGGATTAGGAAGTGTAGGTACCTAGGACAAATGGTTTTCTTAAGGAATTTAGCCATGAAGGGAAGAAAAGCTATAGAATGATAAATATCAGAATTGTAGAATCAAATGGGGATGATTTTGTGGATGAGAGACATGTGGCATGTTTATAGGTAGCAGAGAAGGAGCCCGTAGATAGAGAGAAATTGAAGATAAGAGTTGGGATGATAGTAGGGACAATCTGCTGGATCAAGGCTGTATGTAGAGGGCAAAGAGAAAAGCTATCTCTTCATCTGAGACCACAGTGAAAGAGGAAATGGAGGATGAGAGAAAAGATTATTTCTATTTTGTATTTAATAACTAATTATTGAACAAAAACCCAAGGTTTTTGTCCTTTTCTACTTCCTTATCCAGAAATCAACCAGTGTGGGAAATCTTACTCAAAGAATTACTCAGCCATGAAAGCTAAGACAGTAAAAAAAATTAAAAGTAAAAAAGTAAAAAGCTAATCGAAGACAGTAAAGAAATTCTTAATTTAGGACAGGGGTGGGGAATCTGTGGCCTCGAGGCCACATGTGGCCCTCTAGGTCCCCAAGTTTGGCCCTTTGACTGAATCCAAACTTCACAGAACAAATCCTCTTAGTAAAAGGATATTTTCTGTAAAACTTGGACTCCTTCAAAAGGCCGCACCTGTGAATGGGTGGATTTCTGCTCATTGTGTTTACTCAGACAGGTCTGGGAAAATGTGGATTCTCCCTTTTGTTATATGGGCAATATGAAAATTGATAAGTCTTTTTGACTACGATTTGGGTGCTCAGTGTCATGTATACCACGATCCTCACTGGAATAAGTCCACCTCTCATTATAATATTCATTCTCTCATTACTTGTTAACCAATCAGAGTTGATTGCCACCCTCAGGAACACCCTTCCAAGGACATATAAGCATTGAGTGGGTTCCATGAGAGGTCTTTGGCATTCAAGAGTGTCAATGACTCTTTTGTTAATAAAATGCTAGCATTATTAATAAAATGATTAATTACCCAGAAACTATGTCTTTTGAACCTTTTAAACATCACAAGGAAGATGTCCGAGTGGTACAAGATGAAAAGGAGGGGAAAAGAGGGAGGTCTAGACCTTCATATTTTCAGTGAAGTTATGAGGCCAAGTCCTTAGCTAAGAGGGTGCTAGAGAAGATGCAAAAGAAGGCTTGAAGAGAGACAAGGTGGTTTGGCACAGCCACTATGGAGAGTGGAATAGCAAATCAATTGGGAAGGAATAGAATGTTTGCTTGCCGCATGGAGGGCCCAGTTGAGATTAGATACTATGTTTATATGGATAATGTCAGCACCATTTTATGGTTTCCTCCAGCCCCACTTATTAACATGTGAATAGAAGCAAAGGAGATGGGTGGTAGGAGTAATTCAATTTCTGTTACTGCCTCATTTCCCTCCATTTATTTCATTGTTCAGCTCTTTCAGAGAGGTGTTTTTCTGAACCCCATGTGAACTTCTTGTCAGCTACTTGGTTCCTGGACCCCTTTTCTGCTACCTGCACTTAAAAGAATCTGCATTTACTATAATTACTAGCAACCCTCTTGTTAACAAGTTTAAAAAACTATCCTCCTCTTCAGTGGACTAGGACCTACTCTTCAATATAGTCTCTGATCTGAGCTTCTAAGAAGCAATCCTTACCTAATTTAGATCTTATCTCTCTGGCCTTACTTATTTTTGCATCAAACTACTAACAATTTAATAGCAGTACTCTGGGCAAAGCAATGATTTCCTATAGGTTCTTATAGATTCAATAACCATCAATGAATAAAGTACACACAAATCTATTTCTCTATCCCTAAGTTATTCTTTCATCTTCTTTCAGTACCTGCCTGAGTATTACTCTGCCTATAAAATATCTTAGATATTCTCACTGTCTCGAGATAAAAACGGTGAAGATTAATTTCTTGACTCTATTCTATACCCAACTCCCACATCACAGTGGGCAATAAAACCATCTCTAACGATATGCCAAATAAAGAATCTATGACACAGCTTTGGTTCAACCTTATGACAATTTTCTCTCTATGCTTCCCATATCCATGTAGCCTATGATCCTAAAGTCTCCAAGATCAATGTATTTTGCTTGTATAGAAATCATGTGCTTTTTTAGTGTTCTAGCATTTGATTTTTTTTCTTCTAAATTGTCTTTTACTTCAGTATATTTGCATTCCAAATTGGTTTTCTCTTTCACTTCCTTGGAGAGATTTACCACCATGAATTCAAGTTTTTCTTATTCTAATGATTATTTCAGTTGCAGAGGTCAAATTCTGCTATTTGCTCCCTTTTAACTGCTTTTAAGATTCTGATTTCTCTCTTGAACCATTCAAGAATATCTTGTTGCAGTTCTCTGCTCTCTTAAAAACCACAGGGTTTTGTGTTTCACCAGGTACTGACTTAATTTCTTGTGGTATTTTAGAGATTTGCAATCTTTTAAGTGTCTTGGTAACCTTCTTTTCTGATTTTACTATTTTTTCCAGGTAATTTACCTGCTTATGTTCTAGGCATTTAACTGTCTTCCCCTCCTTCCCCTAAACCCCTTAGTAATTTTGTTTTTTTCCACTTACATCCCCTATCACTCACTTTCTTATTCCTTCTTCTTTGATGGTGGGTTTATTTCTGGATGGACCTCAAAGCTGTCTCAGCTTCCTCCACTTCAGAGAGTTGACTTTCCAATGGCCTTAGTCACAGCCCCAAGTGACTTCTGGGAGGACTGGACTAGCAACAGTTGGATGCCAATCCCCGTTTCTTCAGGCCTAGTATAGCTCCACAAGCTGGCACTCCGCCTTCATTCCCACCATTCTTTAGTTCTCTGGCTAAATGCATTCATCCCAGGCAGAGAAGAATGAGTTCAGCCCTCATTTACCTCTCCTTTTAACACAAATGTTTGGGCAGAGTTGAGGTCTGATGTTGCACAGAATAGTGGGGTGAGGAAAGGAGCAGAGTATTCCAGTTGAGACTGCAGCAGTAGCAGGAAAGTTGCTAAGTGGGTCCTGGAGCACAAGTTGGTGGGAGTGGTTTTGCACCCTGGTGCATGGAACATGGAAGCTGATGGAGGGAGGGAGAGATAAGTGCTAAATGAGCAGCTTAGGGATTAGTTAATCAAGTGGTCAAGGGAGGTTGTTACTTTGTTAGACTTCTTGATTTCTTAGTCTGGTGGGGAGACAGCTGTAATTGCTCTAACTGGTATATAATTCCTCTTTTGTCAGTTTCTGACAGTGAGAGCTCATTCTAGAGGACTTCAGAATGTACATCGATACTCACAAATACCCAAACTTACCAGTTCCTCAATCTACTCAATTAATATAGACTATTCTTCCACTCAACTTCAGCTACACTCACAAATGGTCATACCCTTGATCTTGCCATCACCCACAAGTGTTTTTCCATTTTTACTAACTTCAAAATTCCTTTATCTGATCATAACCTCATAACATTCCCTCTTTCCCCTCTGCCTTATGACCTTTAACCCTATTTTTCATCCTTGACATAACCTCTAATCCCTCTATCCCATGGTTCCCTTTCAGGCCATCACCCCAAAAGAGGCTATACTCTCCACCCTTTCCTATCTCGTGAACCAGTTAAATTCTACCTTATCCTTTACGCTGAAGTCCCTTGCCCCCTTTATCCTATTACTGATCATGCTTTGTTAAGCCCCCACCATGGATTTCTCCCACCATTATTCTTAGGAGAAAACCAAGAAGCAAGTTTGTTACATAATCTTAACTGGGCCCTCATTGCAGTAAGGTATTCCTTTTACACCTCCCTACTCTATTCACTCCCTGTCATCACCAAACCTTTATTCTTCCTCAAGCCTCCTAAGACCTTTTCCCCACCTTCTCAACTGAGGACCCTACCTCCTACTTCACGAAAATAAAAAAATAAAGAAATTGAGGCCATTTGTTGAGAATTCTCTCTTTTCCCTTTTTCATCTCACATCACTCAGACATCTGCCTCCGCTAGTTCTTCCTTCACCCTGTCTTACAGAAAGAGGTGATTCTTCTCATTGCCACAGCAAAGCCTTCTACATGTACCTTGGGTTCCATTCCATCTTCTCCAACAGATTTCTCCCTCTAATATGCCTACTTTCTCCACTATCTTTAATCTTTTCCTATCTCCTGATTGCTTCTCTGCTGCCTATAAAAACACTCATCCTTAAAACCCCATCCTTAAAAAATCCTTGCTATCCTATAATCCACATTAGCCAATGCCTAGGTATCTCCCATACCTCTCTTCTTTTTTGTGACTAAACTCCTAGTTGACTAAAACACACTTGCTGACTTGACTTGTTTACTTGAGAAAGGCACCTAAAACTGGTGCCTCCAATTCTCCTCCGACTCTCTTCTAAACCATCTGCAGTCTAGCTTCCAACCTCTCCAAAGTTACCAATGACCTCTTATTTATCAAATCTAATGTCCTTTTTTTGGATCCTCATCATTCTTAACCTCTTTGCAACCTCTGACACTGCTAATTGCTGTCTTCTGGATATTCTAGAACAGGCCTTCTTAAACTTTTCCCTCTCCCAATCCTTTCAGTGCTTCTTAAACTGTGGGTCTCGACCCCATACGGGCTGTAAATGATACTACATCTCACTCTGCATTTTCATTGGCTGTGTCTCATGCCTGGAATTCTCCTTCCTCACCTTTTCCTCTTGGATTCCCTGGCTTCTTTTAAGATTCAACTCAAATTCAACCTTCTGCAAGAGACCTTCCCCTTCACTTTCTCCCTCACTGCTAATGCCTCCTCTGAGATCATCTCCAATTTACACTGCATATATTTTATATATATAAGATTGTTTGGTGATCTCCTCAATTAGAATTTAAGACCTCTGAAGGCAAAGACTTCATTTGTTACTTTCTTTGTATTCCTGGTGCTTAGTACAATGTCTGGAAAATAGTAAATTATAATAGGATTACTACTTACCAAGGTCCCCCCTTCTGCATGGGTTAGATTTTTTCCCTTAACAGTGAAAAAGCTGTCCTTGTAATTTGAGTGTCCCAGGCTACTGAGACTCAAGACAAGCATCCCTTAACACAGCTTCTTGGTGGCTTTAGGCCAGATTGACACGAGTTTCTGGTCACCCAAGGCCCATCCAGGCCCTTCTGACTTGACATTAGGCTGCTCAAGTCACCTTTCCCTGTTCTATTGATCAGATACTTTTCCATAAGGAGGGGAGAGGGGCCATATCTACTCAGGCTGAGTGCTACGTTATCCCAGTTGAATATAGTTTTTCTATGTTAAGGTTAATGTAAAGCTCAATTCTGTTACATGATGAATGATCTATGAGAATCTCATTTCATTCCAACACCAAACCTAAACCAACTGGATACTGGTGGAATCAGGCCCACCCCTAATATAACTTTAATAAATAATTATTTATTGACTGAGGAAATGTCTAGTACTTCATCTTGTTGGTCATAGGATTCATGACTCTGGCTTTCATAGCACTTTACAACCTGGCCCTAACCAACCTTTCATTGTAGATCAGCCAAGCCTAAAAATTCTGTTCCTCTATGCTTTTGCTCATACTGCATCATTCCTGAAATGCACTTATCTTATCCCCTACTTCATCTCCGTCTCAGGAAATCGTTCTCACCCTCCAAAGCTCAGCTTGAACACTACACCTCTTTCATGAAGTCTTCTCTGATCTCCTGCTATCTTCAGTCAAAGTGAATCTCAAAATCACTTAATTTGTAGTTCTCTAAGGTGTTTTATCATATTTTAAATAGCATGATATAAAAGCAACATGGTGTAGTAGGTTGAGAGCTGGTCTCAGACCAAAATGATCTGGTTTAAGTCCTGCTTCTGATACCAACTGGTTATGTGTTTCTGGGAATTTCTTGGCGTGCTAGGAAACTCTCTAAGACTACAAATTGCTGAGAAGTTGCCAACCTGCATTGGTAGAAAAAGTTTCTTCATCCTGTAGTTCCCTATGTCAATAAAATCAAAAGTCCAGTAACTGTCCTTTTAGCATAGTGAGAATAACATGAATTTAGGAGTCAGAAGACATGGGTTTAAATTCCAGTTCTGCCATTTAGTAGCTACGAAACCTTTGGAAAGTCATTTAGCTCTATAAGCCTCAGTTTCCTCTTTTATAAAATGGAGCTAATAATAATACTTCTACTCATTTCTTACAGGATTGTTATGAGCAAGATGATATATGTAAAGTGTTTTATAAATGTGCTTTATAAATGCTATACATACACATATATGTGTGCATGCCATGTATAGCAGATGTTTATATACCATTTTAAGTTTTACAAAGCACTTTACATACTTTTTTTTTATTTTATCCTCACAACAAACTTGTGAGAAAGGTACTATAGGTATTATTATCCCCATTTACAGTTTAGGAAAATGAGATTCACAGAGGTTAAATGACTTGCCCGTGGTCATATTAAGTGTCAGAAATGGCTCTTAATCCATTCAAGTCTAAATTGTAAATCACGTGCCCTAAGAAACTAAATGTTTGACACTACCAACAATTCTTTCTTTTAAAAAACTGAGTTTACAGGGGTTTCTCTATGTGTGTTTTAACCTTCCAATTTATTATCATTTAATTAAAGATATTTTCTGATAAATCTGACATTGTTGTCAAATACCATTGTGTCATAGGACATAATTGATATATTACAAATGTGTAGAAGAAAGGAATCTGCTTAATAAATTAACAGTTCAGTCCTCCTGAGAGACAGAGTTCTAAGGCACAGACTTGAAAGCAATTAATATCTTTCTGCTTTGGGCATTTCTAAGATGACATAAATAGTTACAAATAGGTAAGGAAGACTACTATATCTGCTACTGCAAGACTTCTAACTTCTCAGGTGAATGAAAAAATGAAATTATCCTTCCATCTTTAATTCAATAGAACTTACTTCCCTATTGAGCAACAGAAATCCATGTGAAAAGTGAACACTAGAAATCCAACAACCAGAGTCAGCATAAAAGTCAGTTGCAAAAAAAAAAAATGTAGACTATAGATAGTCAATATAAGCTTATTTACTAGGTTAAGAGGCAAAATGGTTAAGGAATTTGTTCTGTTGTATGCTTCTAAATACTAGAAAAATTAATTAGCCAAGAATCTCTTACCTCTTCTACATTTATGCTGGATTTTGCACTTGTCTCAAGGAATTTAATTCCATAATCAATTGCTAACTGTAAAACAAATGAAAAAGATTTTTATTACATATAAAACTACTGACATACTCAAAACAAGAATGTGTGTGTATATCTATCTACACACAAACACACGGTAACCTCCTGTTTTCTCCTGATCCTTCCCCACAGTGATCAGACAGAGGATGCCTATAAATAGTTTCTAAGATTTACATTTCAAGTGTAAGAAGCAAGCTGTCTATCTTGGAAGTCTGGAGTTATGTTGACTTCTTATTCAGACTGTATTATAATCACAAATATAATCATTTGACTTAGGTATTAAAGGTAGGTAATAAAGTTACAACTTTTATTTTCAAAATACCTGTATCTTCTGTTCACAGAGCAACAAGATAAAGGACATTCTTTTATCTTTTAGCTCTGAAATAGAAACTCTTGTTGTTAATTGGGGGTATGCCTAAGCCAGCCCATTTGCCTAAGGGCTGAAATTAGCCCTTTTTGTACAATTTTTCAATAGCCATTATAATAGTGATGGAATGGATTCATTGGTGTAACAGAATCCTGCAGTATAGAAACAAGTTTAAGTACCAAAGATGCATACTTTATTCTTTTTTTTTTTTGATTAATGAAGTATTTACTTTTTCACTTACTCCCAAATAGTAAATAAGTAATTTATACTACTTGAAGGCCACTAATGGTAAATGTTGTAAGAGGAAAAAATATCTGCATTGTTTGAAACACATGAACTATATATCTCATATCATTTAAACCAAGCATAAAACTAAATTATAAGAGTTAAAAACTAACATTTGAAACCAATTTAAAAGATATATATAAAAATGCTATTTTTTGAAAGTGAATTCTAAGTACTTAAGTTAAGCAGACATGAAGTTATGAAAATTCTGATAAACAGCATGAAAAGTTTAATCCATAGCTTGAAGAACTAAAAGGCTTACTTGTGTAGAGTGATTTGTGACTACTGTGCAGTAAAAAGTTCTTATAAAAATTATAAATAGAGAATTAGCTGCTATGAAAACTTCATTGATACTGTGATCCCCATGCCCCTCACCATCAAAGTTTCTGGGTATGTTTACACAACAAACTTAGAGACAGGACCTTTAATGCTGTAAGGAGTTTGAAAAGCCTTTCTCTTCATAAACAACATGTAACACATTTCTAAGCAATGACTTATTAGCTCAGTAGCTTCAGATGTAAATACTAATCCACACCTTTCTGATATGGATTATTTCTTAGGTGAATATCTACTTTTAAAGAACTATAAATCAGATACATACTCAGGATGGTGAATAAAAGCTGTTTTTTTTTTTAATGCTACAAATGATGTTTGTTTATCTTGGATAAATTTCAACTATTTTGGTATTCAGTCAAAATTACCTTTTCTCCTCTTTCTTTTGATACTTGTCGTTTGTCATTCATATCACTTTTGTTGCCCAGGATCATTCTTTCAACATCAGAAGAAGCATGCTACAGAGGGGAAAAAAAAAAAAAACCTTGTAAAGAGACCTTGAGGCAAGTAACAGATATTCAACAGACAAATTCTAAATTTTGTCAGAAATATGTATACATTTTGTAATAAATAAAACTAAGTAATTTATTTGATATAAAGCTTTATCCTTAAAAAGAAAAAAGTAAACAAGACAGAGGAAGCCATAATATAAGACTTCAGGGAGCCTGAGCAAAGATTTGCTTAGTTTCATTATGGGATCTGGCTATTTTATGCATGAACAAGTTGATATGAAACTTATCTATCCACAACAGGTCCACTTTTTGAATTATTACTACCAATAATACAATTTGGAATGAAATAGTAGGAAAGATATCTTGGATCCATAAATACTGTAAGATTAAGTTCTTTGGAGGTTGATATGGACATGCCTAAAAATCATTTCATATTGATAGTCCCTTTTTATAAATGTTAAAGAGAAAAAAAATTCTCAAATTTAAAAAATGTTTATGAAGCCTAAATTAAACTACAGCTTCTATACCTTCAAATCTAAGGGTTTCCAAGAAGGTGAAAAAATGTCATAAGGGCAAAAGTATAATAAAATAACAAGAGCTAGTGGGAAGAACATTGCATTGAGAATCAGTTAACTTGAATTCTAGTTACAATAACTACTAATTAGCTATACAATGACTGATGACAATCTCTTGGGGTCTTAGTGTCATTATCTATAAAATGAAGAGATTGGACTAGATCTTTTTTTCTCATCCTTTTTTAAAATTAAATTTTATTTTTTTTAATCAGCAAAAATCCACCTTCCTTCCCTCTCATATCCCAGTTCAAACTGAGAAAGAAAAATACAATTCCGGATACAAATATATAGAGGCAACCAAAATAAATTTCCACATTGACCATGTCCAAAAAAATATTGTCTCATTTTGCACTCTGAATTCTTCACTTCTCTATCAGGAAATGAATGGCATGTTTCATCATCAGTGCTTGGGAGTCATGATTGGTCATTACACTGACCAGAGTTCCTAAGTCTTTCAAAGTTGATTGTCTTTACCATATTGTCATCATTATATAAATTGGTCTCTTGGCATTGTTAATTTCACTCTTCATCAGTTCATGTAAGTGTTTCTGGGTTTCTCTGAAACCAACTCCATTATTTCTTACAACACAATAGTATTCTGTCACATTTTATGCATAACTTATTCAGCCACTCCCCAATTTATGGGAACCCCTAGTTTGTAATTCTTGCCACCACAAAAAGAGCTAAAAATATTCTTTATACATTCTCAGAGTTTGTTTTACTGAGGACTAAGCCCTCTCTAAATTTACCTGCCCTCTAATTAATTCCTTCTTATCCATATTTCCCTGTTGAGTAAAATGTATTTCTGTACCTAACTCTCTGTGTATGTGTGTGTGTATGTATGAACTCTGATCAGTTTAGATAAGAGGTTCAAGTGCCAGTCATTTTCCCATCCCTTCCTCCTTGTTTGTATAGACTTTTATTTGTGTACCCCAGCTTATGTAAGATAACCTAACTTTCCTCTCCCTTTCTTCACTATGTATTTCTCTTCCTTTCCCTTCCCATTCTCCTTTTAAGATCATTAAGACATAATAAAACCACTCCTAGGCCTTCTGTCTAATTAGAGTCTTTCTATGACCTACTGATGGTGATAGGTTCAGAGGGGAACCCTATCATTTTCCTCTATTATATAATAGTTTATCTTTGGTTGTTTATGATTGTGTTTACCTCTTTCTCTTGACTCTTTTGTACTTCAAAGTTTCTTTTCATCAAGAATATTTCGCAGTCCTTTAATTCATTAAAGATCCATTTTTCCCCCTATAGCTTTATACTCAGTTTTGCTGGGTAAGTTATTCTTGGTTGTTAAGCCTAGATATTTCACATTCTAGAATGTCAAATTCCAAGATCCTTCATAGCAGTGGCTACTAAAATGTCTGTGATTCTTACTATGTTTCTGGAAGTTTTCACTTGAGCCTTTCTTATCTGAAAGATGGATTTTCTTAATTTCTATTTTTCCCTCTGGTTCTAAGAAATCTGGGAAGTTCCCCATCACAATTTGAAACATAGTATCTTTGTTCTTTTTTGGTCATGGTTTCAGATAATTTCAGTGATTCTTAAATTGTCTCTTCTCGATCTGTTTTGCAGGTCAGTTGTTTTTGCTATGAAATACCTTACTTTCCCCCTATACTTTCAGTCTTTTGACTTTGTTTTAAACTAATGTTCTTCTTGTCTCATGAAGTCATTGGCTTCTAATGGTCTGTGCTAATTTTCAGGGAATTTGTTGCTTGGGCAAGGTTCTGTACCTCTTGCACAAAGCTATTAATTTCCTTTCCAATTCTTTCTTCCATAGCTCTCATTTCCTTTCAAATCTTTTCCTCTAACATTCTCATTTCATTTATAAAAACCTATTTAGCTCTTTAAAAAAAAAAACAAAAACAAACCTCTTGCTTTATCTCTTCCAGGAATTCTAGTGGAACTTGTACTCAAGATGTGTTTTTCTTTGAGGCTTTGCTTGTCGATATTTTGGAGTCATTCTCTACTTTTGGGTTTGTATCTTGAGTATCTCTGTCACCACAACAGGTTTTTATGGTGGAATTCTTTCTTTGTTTCCTCATTCTTCTAGCCTACTTCCTGTCTTTGTACTTTATATTAGGGCTGGGCTCTATGCACTTCAGGAGGTAGTGCCTAAGTTGATCCTGATGTTGCTTTCTTAGGGAACTAAGTATTGTGCTATTCTAGGATCTCAGGGCAGTTCAAGCTGGATGCCTGAAAGTTGTCAGTGCTCCCAAAGTGGTCTGATCAAGGGCAAAGCTTGAAAGTTATCCTCCCACCTTCATCTGAGCTCTTTAAGTTACCAACCTGGGTTTGGGTCTGAGCAACAGATCTTTGGCCTTGCCTCCTTTGGAGTTTCAGTAGACAGTTGTTAGACTCACCTCAGTCACCTGGAAAGTGCTGCTATTATAAAGTGAATTCCCTTTGGTTTGAGAGTCTTGTCCTGGCTCTTCCTTTGCAGGCTTCAGACTGTACTAGAAGTTTGAACTGAGATCCCACTTTGCCTCTGTAGTCTGAGCCACACAGCTTCTGTTTGCTTCTGAACTTGATCCTTGCTTGGTATGTAGCCTAAGGCCCTCACCCTGGAATGGAACCACAGGAGCCAGTCCCCTGTTCAGTCTTCTCTGGATCTCTGACCCCCACCTGGGTAGTTAGCAACAGAGTGGCCAGATGGTACCTGTACCCGTACCCTATATAATTTTAGGCCCCTTTAAGTTTGATCGGGGACTTCTAGCCCTGATACATAGCCTCTTCCTGGTTGGAATGCTTCACACAGTATGCTCCTGGCTAGACTTCCCTAGTTTTCTCCCTTTGCTGACCTGTGCTGCAAAAATGACTCACGGTTTTGTTTTGTTTTTTCTTGAATTTCCCAATCAGAATTGAGTCAGGTGCATATTCTAGATCTGTCTGGAAGGTGTTTGGGTTTTTTTTGTTTTTTTTTTTTTTTTTGGCGGGGGAAGAGAAGTAGGAGGGGAAGTTCACTGTCCTGCTGCTCCTTGGACTATCTTTTAAAGTTTTTTTTAGCTCTAAAATTTTGTGAAATCCTTTCATTTCAATTTTTTGTTGTAAGAATATGAATAATGTGCATTTATACAGTGTCCAGAAATCTTCATGCAGTGTTCGGCTATTAAAGGTTTAATAATTAATATTAATAATTTAATAATGAAAGCCCTCACAGTTCAACACTGCACCTGGGACACCCTGGGTAGTACCTCTTCTCCAACAGCCCAGCAAGGTAAGTACTACAAATATCAACCTTTCCATTTTACATATGTGGATACTGAAATACAGAGAAGTAAACTAACTTTCCCATGGTTACACAGCCAGTAAACAGTCAAGCCAACACTCATCCCAATCATCATTCTCAATCCAGTGTACTCATTCCATACTGAGCAATTTTGTTTGGGGTTCCAAATCAAACCAAATCTCCATAGTTCAATTTTGAGAATTCAATTTCAGTCAAGATTGTTTACTGCTAATGAAAAAAGCCAGATTGATTATACTAGAAATTCAGCTCTTCTATAATTTTATAGAAACTTCACACATCTCAGCAAATGATCTAACTTCTAGGTAGATAAAAGTACGCCTCATTAGTCCTTGAGGAAAAGTTAGTTTCAAAGACTACCATTCACTCTGCCCCTCCCCTATTTTACCACTAAACAAAATTTTTCCTCAAATACCTCTTCAATGTTTCTTATCCAGTTTTTAATATTTTCAAAAGATTTTTCATTAGTGATGTCATATACCAGCATAATTCCCTAAGAGAGAAAAAACATATTTGATTATTTTTTACATTATACATCATTATTACTTATGAATCTTTCCCAAAAGCATCTTACAAACTTTGTATACTATGAAACTTTGATCATAATTAAGTTTTAATTAATGATTATAAGGAGTCACATTAGTTTTAAGTGAAATAACCATTTCATTTTGTCCTGTGATACAAATCAGAATTAAGTAGCACTGAATGAGTATTTTTTAAATTCAATTTTATTTTATTTTCAGGTCCTAATTCTTTCCCTCCCTCCTTCTTCCTCCCCCACCCCTTTCCTCTTTCCCCATTGAGAAACCAAGAAAAACAAAACCTATAACAAACATATATATAATCAAGCAAAACAAATTCCCACATTGGCCATATCAAAAACAAAACAAAACAAGCCCTTAAACCTCAATGTGAATTCTAAATCCATTACCTCTCTACCTAGAAATGGGTAATATGTTTTATCATGAGTCCTCTGGAATTGTGGTTGCTTACTGTGTGGATCACAGTTTGAAAATCTTTGAAAGCTGTTTGTCTTTACAATATTATGATTATTGTATAAACTGTTTTCTTGGTTCTGCACACTTCATTTTGCATCAGTTCATTTAAGTTTTTCCAGGTTTCTCTGAAACTATCCCTTTAATAATTTCTTATAGTACAATAGTATTACATCACATTCATATACCATAACTTATTCAGCCATTCCCCCAAATAACGTACAGCCCCCCTCAATTTCCAATTCTTTGCCACCACAAAAAGGGCTGTCAAATATTTTTATACATATGGATCCTCTCCCTCTTTCTTTGATCTCTTTAGGGTAGGAACCTTGTAGTGAAATGACCGAGTAAAAAGGTATGCACAGTTTAATAGCTTTGGGGACACAGGTCCAAACTGCTTTCCCTAATGGCTGGACTAGCATTGAAGGGGTATCTAATGTTAAAAGCAGCAATCACATTTACAACAGATCATGATCACACAATTTATGCTTCTTTAAAAATTGCCTTGTATATTGCTTCTGAAGTAAGAGTGAAACCATGTTACTTTTAAATGATTTCTTCTAAAGTAGGGTAGTCAAAATTTCAGTAATAATCGAGGTAAATCATACATATTTCAAATACAGTATATTTGTTGTACAAATCTATTGAAGTGTACAGTCCAGAATGTAAGCTAATTGAGGGCAGAGGGTATATTTCTCATTTTTCTTTGTATCCCCAGAGCCTACAATAGCACCTCACCTGCCCTTATAAGAGATTTAGTAAACATTCTTTGACTTGAAGCCATAAACCCCATTTTCAGTATTTCTAAAACACTTAGCACCATAACGAAAAGGTCTTTGAATTTAAAGGTCAACAAACCAGAAAAAACATTATACTTCATTTTAATATTATATATTTCAAGCTGAAGACAATGGAGAGGTTAACACCTGGATCCAAAATCTAGAGTATCTTTCTTCTAATACATTAAGATCTCAATTTAACAAAAAATGAATTAAAGGAACAGAAATTTAAGCAATTTGTCTAAAGCTGAAGAGTTATAATAGCAATCAGATAGTTCTTCTCACCTTACCAGCAAGCCATTTAAACTTTGATTTCTATTTATGAGGATGTATCTTGAAACATTTCAGGTCTAGCTGGTACTAAAGCCCCAAAGTACCTTTGAACATATTTAAAATTGTATCACAATTCAAAGTTCCAATATGACTCTTCCTGAAGGTAGGTCTGAGAGCCAGAGATAAGCCATGGTGACTAAAACTGAGCTTATACTTCAGGCCAGCCTTACTCCCAAGCTATCCAGAAAACAACAGCCAAAAAGTAAGGGATCAAATTGGGGCTGGATCAATAAGTAACAAAGAAGGATCTGGTGGGCAAGATTTATGTGGACAATATTTATCTCCACTAGATTTGAAGCTTCATAGAGCTACAAATTTTCCAGTCACTTATTTCCTCACCAGTTAAAAAGCTACCAAAGAAATCCAACATAGGTGAGCCACAGGAAAGGATGACATTAGGGTGGACACAGAGAAAGATAAGAAGTGACTTAGTGAGGGAACAGTGTGACGAAAGAAGAGACAAGCAGAATGTGATAACAAAGAACAGTCATAAGGCCAGTGATATGTTAAAGTATGAGACAATCTCAGAACTTGTAACCATGTGATTATCACTAAAAGGTGACAATAGCAAAGAGCATGGCAAAAAAAAAAAAACATTTTTAGTTCTAGTTTTCCTTATCAAGAAAGCTCTTTCAACTATGACAACCATAATTTAGAATCTAACTTCAATCCTATAATCTTGAAAAAAAGGAGTAATTAACATTTTATTTTCACCTGAATAGTTAGAAAACCTTAATATATACTCACCATGGCTCCTCTGTAATATGCTGTTGTGATTGTTCTGAATCTTTCCTGGCCAGCTGTGTCCCTAGAATTCAAAAGAAAGAAAACAATAATATTAAAAGTCATCATTATTGAAGAAAAACTATAAACTATGGGTGACATTATTCAGGGTAATAAGTGCAGTATTTTCTTAAGAAAGAAGAAAAGGAACCCAGGGAACTCCTGAAATTTGGAGGTGGTAGCAGTTACAGAACCTGTCAGGAGATCACAAAGACATCTGTAAAAATCTTGGATCTCAGGGATTCATAGAGCAAGAGAAAAATAAGTGAACTCTACTGGAAACTGGAATATAATGCCATTCCAAACTTGTGGGAGGATATAATAGTTTCAAATTTTCTGACTCCAAGAGGGACTATTAAAATAACTACTTACAAGGATTTAACAAAAGAAATTTCCTTTTAATATAAATTTCTTCACAAAATAATCAAGTGAGCTGAAATAATGTAGAAACTACTCAGTAGCTAAATTGGATTTGGTGAATAATTTTGTAAGCAATAGAGCCCGTTACTAAACTGAGATATCAGAGTTCAATACATACTCTTTGTTAATCCTTCTAAACTTTCAAACAAAAACTCTAATCATCTGTTTTTAGGTAGGTGATACACCATAAGCACCAGGCTCTGTGGAATAAACAGGCTACACATTTGTTATATTTATCAGGAAATAGCTAGTGAAAAGTCAGATTTTCTTGACATGTGGGAAAGTCAATGTCCCAAAATTTGCTACTTGCATCTTGAAATAACTAAATCCCTGGACTCAGAGAAACTAAGTAGCATTGAAAGGCACCTGCAAATTGGTAGGTTAAGACAGACACACAAAAAAAGCCTAGTGCAGACCTAAGATCTACATACCTCAACAGAAATTCTATTGGAATCTATCAGAAAATTGAAAACATCTATTTGATACATGGAAAAACAAAAAGATATGAGGGGGAGGGCAAAGGAATGAAAATCAGTGGGAAGAAAAGAGAACAAATATTTTGGAACAGCCTTATCAGATTTATTGGCCATAAGAAGTGAGAAGCTGCAGGTTTAAATGTAGAACTGGTTGCTAGTAGAGGTGATAATGAACAAAATCACAAAAAGCTTACTCACTCTAAGGATATCAGCAGAAAACAACCCTGGAAATATAATTCAACTCCCTCTTTTAACCTGTAAGCTCATAAACAAGTTCTTAAAGATTACTGGACCCATGTTTCCTTGTTCTCACACCCAAAATTATAAGGACATGGGATCAGGAATTCTTTCTCTTCCAAAACACACAGAAAATAGCATTAGGATAGAACATAAAGGAAAGAGAACTCATTACGTTAAAGTCAAGAATTAAATGTTTGAACATTCAAAGAATGATTAGTGATGTACTTAGAACTTTTATGCCAGTCAGAGTATGTGTGCACTAGTAAGACTGGCTACTAAATTATTAAAGGAAAAACCTATGTTGTCAAAGCTGTGTTCCAGTGAAGACTGTGTGGAAAAAGACAAGGAAAAAGCCTTGGCCTGGGAGTCAGGAAATCTGACTCTGTCACTAGCTGACTATGTGACCTTCAGCTATATACCCTTTCTGGAATCAATTTTCTTTATGTGCAAATTAAACTAGCAATCTCTAAGGTCTCTTTCAGCTCTGATATTTATGATTCTATGAAGACAGGGACAATTGGTTTTTGCCCTCAAGAGAAAACCATTTAATTTGTCCATTTATAAGAACCATCTTAGTTAATTGTTTGGATGAATCCATGGCTGTCAGTGCAACAGTGCAGCCTGCAACCCATCCATGCTTTCTCATGCTTCAAGATTCTTATCCACGTTCTCCCACATTGTCTACAGAAGGTCCATCTAGAATATTAAGATTCTTTCTCTAAATTTACTTTCATTGCATGGGTACCAATATAGCTCTCAGACTATCCATCTGTTGGCTTTTATTTTTTTGTTACATTCCCAGTCCACTTCCCTTTCTGACTATAGATAATTTTACTATCATCTTTTACTCACTCTACTTTTGTAAAAATTTTTCATTACTGATCCTACCCTACACAGGCTCACCATGCATCTTCCCATTGCTCTTTGGATCTGCAACTTTAATTCTTTGAAGAAAGTATTATTCCACATTTCAAAGTCATAAAGAATCATTGGGTCACCAACAGAATATTGGTGTTTCAAGAAGAAGCTTGGGGTCATTAAAAGCAGACTCTGCAACTTCTCAGACTCATTCCGGACTGTTCTTTCCCTATTCAGTTCTGGGCCCTTAATTAACTAAGTGTTGATAAATTCCTCAGGCATTTAAAGTTGTTCAGTTGTTCAGTCACGTCCAACTCTTCATGACCCTATGGATTATATCATACCAATACTGTCCATGGGATTTTCTTGGCAAAGATGCTGGGGTGTCTTGCCCTTTCCTTCTTCAGTGGATTAAGGCAGACAGAAGTTAAGTGACTTGCCCAGGGTCATACATCTAGAAAGTGTCTGAGGCTGGATTTAAACTCACGTCTCAGGGCAGCTAGGTGTTGCAATGGATAGAGCTCTGGCCTTGGAGTTAGGAGAACCTGAGTTCAAATCTGGCCTCAGACATTTAACACTTACTAGCTGTGTGACCCTGGGCAAGTCACTTAACCCCGATTACCTCATCAAAAAGCAATAACAAAAACAAAAACAAAAAAATTATCAACAAATAAACTCAGGTCTCCCTGACTCTAGGCCCAGCACTCTATCTAATATATTAGCCAAGTAGCTACAGGCATTTAACTAGCTAAACACAAAAGTAAAAGATAAGTGATCACAATAGGGAAGCATTTAGATAAACCTAAAGATGTATCTCATTCCTTTTCACTTACTGTGGGAATAGAGATGGGAGATGGTACTAGTCTTTTCCTCATCTCCCATGCCAATGTTCACCTCTATTCCGGTTCAAAAGTGAAGAGAGGTATTTCCATCATAAAATTATCTAGTCTCATTGCTGCAGCTACTTAGCACTTGCTGTGTGGGTGAGATGTGTAGATATCTAGAAAGATTAAAAAAAGAAAAAGAAATCTTTTCCATATTTGAAGGCCTTTGTTTTAACTGAAGTCAGAATATAGTGTTCCGTACTTTCCTAGTTTTCTCTAATACCATCTGAGAAAATTAAGATGCTTTTGTCATGATGGGATATTGTTCATATTCCTGATTAAGCTAAAGGGGGTACACTTGTGCCTGACTTACCAGATCTGCAGTTTGATTTTCTTTCCATCCAGCTCTATTGTTCTTATTTTAAAGTCAATTCCTGTTTTAAAAAAATGTATATATATTTGTGGTTAAGTTTCAAGAAAAAACAAAGATTTCCATTGAATTTAATATTCTCCAACGCACTAGAAAATATGCATACAAAGAGAGTGTGAATGGTATGTTTTCTTTGAATAATATAGCTCATGCTGAAGAAAGGAATGTCAACTACTTTGCAGAGAATTCCAACACACGTGAAATATGGTATATTACAAACTTTAGTATCTCTAGATGTAATACATGTATAAAGATCCCATAATTTGGAAAGACTAGGAAACATGTTCTGTTCCTGAAACAGATGCTAATGTCAGCTCAAATTCATGAGTTTTTTTTTCCCCTGGTAAAAAGAGTAGAACTCTTCAAGAGTTTACCTTTTTCTTCTCTAATCCAACCACTAAAGCTTTATAACTAGAGCATAAGTTCCCTAAAGGCAAAAGCCATGCCTTTTTAATCTTTTTGTTTCTTTCATCCCCTAGCACTACATAATTTTTGCAAAATGAATTTTGAATGAATGATAAATCCAAAAAGCTATTAAAAAATTAAAATCCTTTGTGTTAATACAGAGCTAACATATATTGTATCACTACTTCTATGTAGCCACCAAATAGCCTTCATACTAGAATCTTAACTACGTAGCTTTATTTACTTGCGTTAGGCCCAAAGACAATCACCAGGTCTGACAGACTGTAGGAAAGCTATTTGGGACTCAAGCAATTTAACCTCCCTTTTTGGACTAGTAATCTTATGAACACTTAAATAGTTCATTGCAGTCAAGAACTGCAAACACTTTACAAATATTAACTTATTACCTTAAACTACTGTTTATTTATTATAAGTAAATTAAGCTTTTAGGGCACCAGTTAATAAATATGAATGAGTAATAATTTACTAAATCCTTGCCATGTCTCTACACGACGGTATTGTGATAATTGTACACTGCTACATTGTATTCTTTACTGGTTCTAGAGGTGGTTCTACTTCCATATTGGCCACCCCCACAAGACTACATTAATACATTGAAAAAAATTAAAGAATGGAAACTCTAATCAGTATAGTAACCAACCACAATTCCAGAGGGCTCATGATGAAGCATGCTATCCACCTCCTGATAGACAGCTGATAGACTCAGAGAACAAACTGAAGCATATTTTTTTTCTTTTTCTTTTTCTTTGTCAGCATAGTTAATGTGGGGATTTGTGACTGTGAATGTATTTGTAATACCTTTTGTTTCCTTTGCCTTCTCAATTGGTGAGGGAGGGGAGGAAAGAGGGAGAGGAGAAAATTCGGAAAAAAAAATAAACTAAATTGGATTTTTTTAAAAATGAAGAAATTAAAAATATTAAATAAAAGCTCAGGAAGAAAAAATTCTAAGGAGAATAAATAGGTTAGAACTGAAAGTGGCAAACCTTCTAAGAAAGAGCCTCCAAGAAAAGTAAAATGTATTAAATAGAAATCAATGACTCCATTACACAGCAAGAAATATTAGAACAAAGCAAAATAACTGAACAAATAGAAGAAAATGTAAAATATACGATATAAAAAAGTAACTTAGAAAAAAAAGTCTGGGTGAGAGAAATTAAGACTCCCTGAAAATCACAAGTCAATAAGCATTTATTAAGTGCTGCCTATGAGGCTGCTAGAAGCAGCTATGGCTCAGTAGGTAGAGCACCGGGCCTGCAGTCCACAAGACCTGAGTTCAAATCCAGCCTCAGATAACTTACTAGCTGTTTGACACTGGGCAAGTCATTTAGCCTCTGTTTGTCTTAATGCATTGGAAAAGGAAGTGGCAAACCATTCCAGTATCTTTGCCAAGAAAACCTCATGGACAGTATGGTCCACAGGGTCACAAAAAATCAGACATGATGGAACAAGAATGAGGCTGCTAGGTGGCACAGTGGATAGAGTATTGGACCTAGAATCAGGAAGATCTGTACTCAAATCGAGCCTCAGACATTTACTAGGTGTGTGACATCTAGGCAAGTCACTTAACCTTTGCCTGCCTCAGTTTTCTTATCTATAAAAAAGAAGATAATAATAGCATTTACTTCCCAGGGTTGTAGTAAGGATCAAATCAGAAATTTATTTGTAAAACACTTAGCATAGTGCCTGGCACATAGTAGGAACTTAATAACCCTGTCCTTTCCTCCTATGTACCAGACACTGTTAAGCAAGACGTCTGCTCTCAAGGAGGTCACAGTCTAGTGGGGTAGATAACATATAAACATCCTGTGTAAATAAGATATATGCAAGATAAACTGGAAATAGTCCAAGAGAAAGCCTATCATTAAGGGGATCAGAAAAAGCTTTTTATAGAAAGCAGGATTTTAACTGGGACTTGAGGGAAGCCAGGAGACAGAGACGAAGAGGGAGAGAATTACAGGCAGGGGGACAGTCAGTGAAAATGCATGGAGTTGGGAAATGGAGTGTCATGTATGATGAATAGCAAGGAGGTCAGTGTCACTGGATCTTGGTGTACATGGAAAGAAGTAAAGTGTAAAAAGAATGTAAAGAAAGGGAGAGGCCAGGTTATAAAGGGCTTTAAAAGCCAGAGGGCTTTATATTTGATCCTGGAGGTAAAAGAGAGCCATTAGAGTTTATTAAATGGGGGTTAGGGTTGGTGACATGGTCAGACCTGTCCTTTAAGAAGATCAATTTGACAGATGACAGGAAGATGGATTGGAGGGAGGAGAGACTTGAAGCAAAGAGACCAACCAGCAGGTTATTGGAATAGTATTATGAGTGAGGTGATGAGGATCAGCACCAGGGTGATGGCAGTGTCAGAAGAGAGAGGACTACGTATAAGAGAGATGTTATGAAGCACCTGGCAACAGATTGGATATGCAGGTGAGGGTAGTGAGAAGAGGGAATGGAGGAGAAAGTAAGGAGTTGAGGGTGATATCAAGGTTGCAAGCCTGAGTGACTGGGAGGATTATGGTGTCCCTGAAAGTAGCAGGTAAGTCAGGAAGAGGAGAGGGCTTGGGAGAAAAAAATACAGAAATAATTTTTAGACATGTTGAGTTTAAGATATCTCCAAGACATTTGGTTTGGGATGTCCAATAGACAGCTGGAGATGAAAGAGTGAAGGTTAGAAGAGAGATTAGGGGTAGATAAACAAATCTGAGGATCATCTGCATAGAGATAATTGAATCCAAGGTAGTAGAAGAGATCATTAAAGGAATACCATAGAGAGATAACAAGGCCCAGGACAGAGGACTGGGGGACCTCTACGGTTAGTGGATATGATATGAATGAAGATTCAGCAAAGGAGACTAAAGGTCAGACAGATAGTGGAACCAGGAGAGAGCAATAGCATGAAAACTTAGATAGAATAAAAAAACCTAGATAGAGTGAAAAAAGAAGAGTGATCGACAATATCAAAGGCTGGAGAGAGGGCAAGAAGAGTAAAGATTGAGAAAAGACCATTAGATATGCTAAGTAAGAGATCATATGCAGATTTCTGAGTCATCTCCATAATGTTGACAACTGAATGCAAGTGATTTGAAGAGATACCAAGAAAGAGAAGAAAGAGAGAGAAGAGAAAAAGGACTTGGGGTCACCCATGCATAGGTGGTAAAATACAGATATGCCCAAGGATCCAGCAAAGTGGACTAGCTGGGGATAGAGCAAGGACTAAATCCCAGGCCAAGGAGGGCTCCTGACTCACAAACCAGGGTTCTATTCACTGCTTCCCTTGTGTGATGTCGGGCAAGTCACTTAGCTTTTCTGAGCCTCAATTTCCTCATCTATGAAGTGAAGGGAATAGACTAGATCAGTGGTGTCAAACTCAAACAAAAATGGATCCCAGGGCTGTATAGGACTTAGCCACAATTTAGCATTATTTCTATTGTACTGTATTTGTATTCATTTTGTCAAACATTTCTCAATTACATTTTTAACCTGGTTGCGACCACACTGGGTAGTTTTTTAGTCTGCTTGACCTCTGGACTAGATCACCTCTAAGATCCTTTCAAGCTCTAAGTGTATGAGTGAATGCATTGATTATTTTTTGTGAACCAAAAACTACTGCAAAATTACTTTTGGTACTATTATTCATGGCTATGGTCCATGGGAATATAAATAAACATAGTTTTGTCTGTTAGATTTCAGAGTCCCCAAGAAATAGAGAAAGCAGTTTACGAATCATTACCAAAATATATGTTGAAGGGCTAAAATGTAACATTTCCCCACTAAAGATTTTTATTAAAGTTGGTGAAAATTCACAGCAGCCTTTGGTAATCTTTAGGTCATAAAGCTCAAGTTTTAATAATTTTGCCCACAGATATATTTTATTTTATACTTGTGAAGGAATTTTAAAATATTTTTAAATACCTGAAATTCTTTATTTGCAGCAAAGGTGAGATAAAATATATGAGATAAGTTATGGACTAAATTTTTGTTTTTCCCTTAAGAGAAAGGATTTTAATAATCTTTTGCATAGAAAAACAGATTTCAGAATTTTATTAACACTAAATAATTATTAATGGAACTATTCTTTGTAAAAACATAGTCTATTAACCTGTTTTCACAATGTACCTATTTATCTTGTTTGTTAAATCACTCAATATTTTTCTGAAGAAAATCACTTGGGATCCCCAGGTTTCTATTAGAACTCCCAAAAACGAAACTTAGCTGAATTTTTAGAATACATTTTAGTATTAACTTGGAAAAAAACATGAACAGACCAATCATTTCCAAATGAGTCTAATATGACCACAATGGAGAAAAAGGTTTATAAATAACTCAAGTATCCAGCAAACATTCTGAACTTGAAAGAAAATACTGAATACCAAACACATAATCGGAAAACTAAAGAAAATAAAATTAACCAGAAAACTTTAAATAATTCCTCTGCTCATCTATTTTGTGAATAGGAAATGGTAAGCTGAACTATGTTTACAACATAAATTGATAGTGATATATACTACCACTTCCTGTGGAACAGGCTATATATCTGTTCATTTCAATAGTGGTTTTCTACTTAGTACTAAATTAAATGCAATA